AAATGGACATGTTTTAGTGTAATAACTGGACTTGTGATTTTTTGACAATCTTTTCATTAAATTATCATTTCTGTTGATACTTGTTGTGTTTTCCTTAAAGCTAATGTAATGTCCTAACAGGCTGCGTTTGTATTTTTGCGATTATTTGTTCCGTTATCTCATGACACTAATCGTATCATTTGTCATTCCAAAAAAACGTGGGGGTGCTTAACTTTTTTCTTTGTGTATATATACGTTAGGACTCTACAAGCAGTGGAATATAAAAATAGTATCTATAATTAGTTGTTTGTTATCTAAAAACAACAAATATACACACCCAAACATGATAGGACCCCGTGATTTTAATTATTTACAAGATGCACTGAAAACACAAGTTATGCAATTATATAATGAATAACTATTTATCATAATTACTTCAAAGGTATGTAAGGTACAAAATGTTAAATGGTAGCCATATAACGTTTATATTTTTATTTTATTTTTGTGGTGGGTTTTTTTGTGGGAGGGGGAGAGGGATATGGCGGGCGGTGGTAGGGGCAAGATAACGAAGACACCTAACAGCCTCGGGGGCTCTGTACCATTCCCTCCCTAGCACCATCCCAATATCCGTCGTTAGTCACTGGATCAACACCTCGTCAACCTAACTATAGTGTAACGAGAATAATTAGTAAATAAAAATCTCTGATTAGCACCTGGGAATACATATTGGAGCCACAACAAAGCGATCAAAACAAGATCTACCAGATGCTTCCCGTGCTTCAAGAAAAGGGAGATATATCGGGTTACCATGTACTATACTTACGGCGCGTGCTATAACCGGTTGAATCCACAATCTTGATACGGACAGCACGGCCATACTTCTTGTGTAGCACGATATCAATCTCCTACTGTATACAGTTGTTAATGAACCGTCACAGTTAAGTACTGATCGAACCAAATATAACCCCTATAAATCGGGTACAACGTCTATCTGACCCCCGGGAGAATACGCAGGGTTAGGGCGTCAAGTACGGAACACTCGTAGTCACACAATAAAGATGTGTATGAACTGCTTAAGGACATATGATCATTCCTTAACGAACCTCCTCTTCAAAAGAGGTCAATATATAACAAATATGTGATTGTAATTTAGAAGTTGATTAATTATATCAAAAGACACATTTGAAAATTCATGTGAATACATTTATCGATAGCGCTCCACTAACTGAATTATTAGATGACCATAGATTCTTTATCACTGGCTTTCCAAAAGAGAAAACTGACCACACTGGATATTGGCTTCAGGTCATGTCATTTTCACCTACGTACATTTTCAATGGGAGATACATGACCGACTGTTAGCGAATCAGTTCACTAAAAAGCCTTTGATGTTGCGTAGCACAATCATCTTTGGACACCGTTGACATAGGGATGTTGTGTGGTCTAAATGAAGGACATAAACGAATATATTTAAACGGCATATTTAAAAGTGTAACACAAACCGCATGTGCATGTACATGTACATGATGCAAATCATGATATAGCATTGAGTTTGGAGTGTTTGTGCTTCACGTCCTATTAATAGCTATGGCAGTTTAAGGACGAGCCATGTTTTGGGGGTGGAGGAAAGCCGTGCTCCCGGAAGAAAAATCACCGACCTGCGGATAGTACCTGGTGACTCGTATGCCTCGAACCCGCGACCTAGCCTTATTTTACTGACCATTATGTACATTGTATGTATGGAAGATCGCAGTTTCGAACCCTGGCCGAGCATCACCGAAAAACAGATATATATGTTGTTCCCTGTGGTAGACATTGACATGGTTGTGCCGCCATTGGTCGGGAGACATCCGCAGTTTCTTGGACACTCCAAAACATTCACAGTTATGCTAGGATTCACTTCTCCCAAGAAACATTGTTAGATGTAGGTAGTAAACTCATGTTTTTTCAACATTTATACACAATCAAACGTTCAGATCGAAACAAAGACAAAACTACCAATTATATCATTACAATGTATCGACAAACACAGGAATTTGGAGTTTCTAACAGTTGCAGTAGCTAGCGTGTTTCAGGGTCCGTGACTAGACCGTAAACATCCGGACAACGAACTGTTGATCGCAAAATCATGGACTGTAATAAACCGGGCATTTACTGACCACAAGGAGCGCAGACAAATGTAACTGGACAAATAATTGATGACCAAAAACATGGACCGTAGACCGCCAATGACCGCCTCTGAATCGCTGACAACACCGGACATCGAGCCACCGACCGCAATTATATTGACCAAATCATTCGGACACTCATGGCCATAAAGTCACGTCAATCAAGGACTAACAGATTAATTTAGTTATGTGAACTAATGAATAAGTAATCTCTCTCCGCGCGTCATGAGCAAATACAGTCTGTCTGTTCTCTGGTACGCTGTAGAGTGTGTCATGTTGCTTATTACAAACAAATAAACATGCGATCATTAATCAAAATATTTCATATTTATATAATGTTCCTAAGTCCCCCTTACACACATTTTCGGACACCCCTATCCCCCATTATTTTTCTTTTAAAACGGCTGTATTGCTGGTCATAAATATGCAATAAAACAAAATCGCGAACGCAGCAGAATTACCCCCAAACAACATACCTTGTGATGTGTCTAGCAGGGAGAGACAGAAGGGACTATTAGTGAAATATGTCTTTTTAATAATCTTGTCACAAAATCCATCGTGAAAATATATAAAATATATTATGAGCAATTCATGTCGAGAAATAGACATAAGTCAACATTTACTTGACATTCCGTAATCAACAATGGTATGGGATGGCTATACGTTTTAGCGGCAGTTCCATTGTTGTCCATTTCAAACTAACTTCAAGCGTGTTTCATTTTTGTAAACAGAAATGTTTGCCAAGGCGAGAAGTAAAATTCACGCTTTGTTCACTTTACTTCTTTGGGACACAAGTAAATGTATTTATTTTGAATCCATAACAGCTTCCAAACAACTCGCATGTTTAGCTATTTTGGCTTTAACTATCTTTATCACTGGCTTTCCAAAATGGAAAACTGACAACACTGGATATTGGCTTCAGGTCATGTCATTTTTAACTACGTAAATTTTCAATAGGAGATAGATATGTTCGGTACATGACCGACTGTTAGCGAATCAGTTCACTAAATAGCCTTTGATGTTGCGTAGCACAATCATCTTTGGACACCGTTGACATAGGGATGCTGTGTGATCTAAATAAAGGACATAAATGAATATATTTAAACGGCAGGTGTACTGAGAGAGACCGGAAATAGATGTACATTGGTCGACAGAGGCGCCGAATTGATAATAAAAATATATCCAAAAAGACCTTTTGGCTAGAAGACACTTATATCCTTAATTATGACAGTATCACGTAGAATACACCATTATCTGTATGTCACAGTAAGGTAGCATACAACCTTGATGATGTCGGCTCAATCTGGGTGTGTGACCTGATCTTAGGGCAATGATCGAACGTGTAACCACGCTGAATGATACGATAACTTGATACTAAATACGTATAATGATCCAGCCAATTAAATGCTAGCTTCATAGAACCATTATATGTGCCACATTTATCGGCTCTGCACACAAAGGTCGATATCCGTAGAAATAGAAACCTTTCCCAGGACAGGTATCAATGTACATGTATACGATGATTACCCAGCACAGGTATCAATGTACATTTATACGATGATTTCCCAGCACAGGTATCAATGTACATGTATACGACGAGTACCCAGCACAGGTAGCAATGTACATGTATACGACTATTACCCAGCATAGGTATCAATGTACATGTATACGACGATTACCCATCATAGGTATCAATGTACATGTATACGATGATTCCCCAGCACAGGTATCTATGTACATGTATACGACGATTGCCCAGCACAGGTAGCAATGTACATGTATACGATGATTACCCAGCACAGGTATAAATGTACATGTATACGACGATTACCCAGCATAGATATCAATGTACATGTATACGACGATTACCCATCATAGGTATCAATGTACATGTATACGATGATTAACCAGCACAGGTATCAATGTACATTTATACGATGATTTCCCAGCACAGGTATCAATGTACATGTATACGATGATTACCCAGCATAGGTATCAATGTACATGTATACGACGATTACCCATCATAGGTATCAATGTACATGTATACGATGATTCCCCAGCACAGGTATCAATGTACATGTATACGATGATTACCCAGCACAGGTATCTATGTACATGTATACGACGATTACCCAGCACAGGAAGCAATGTACATGTATACGACGATTACCCAGCATAGATATCAATGTACATGTATACGACGATTACCCAGCATAGGTATCAATGTACATGTATACGATGATTCCCCAGCACAGGTATCTATGTACATGTATACGACGATTACCCAGCACAGGGATCAATGTACATGTATACGACGATTACCCAGCATAGATATCAATGTACATGTATACGACGATTACCCAGCACAGGTATCAATGTACATGTATACGACGATCACCCAGCACAGGTATCAATGAACATACAATAACCTCCCAGACACTTGCGGATCTACATGAGGGAACCACTAACTTAGGGATTTTCATTTCTGAAAACCTTAAGAAACCAGCGTAGAAACCAGAGTAGGAAACCAGGGTAGAAAACCATATGGATCCGCGTCTGTAGCGTCCTATAAGTCACTATCGTAACCGAGTAATACCACACGCCACATCCTCATTGGGATGGATCACAATCACGTGGAAGTCGGAGATTTGTTACATTAACTCTGTGTTACTATTTTCAGAAACAGCGGATTAATATGCATTATAAGATGTAAGTTCATAGTAACGACACAACGCTCTCTGCCAAACGCAGTCCTTTCCCCCGTACATTTTTTTCACACGTTTTACATTGCTTTCTTATAAAAAAAGATATTTTTATCATATATAGTTTAACAGGAGAGGAAAAAATGCAAGGCCAGACCGTGGTTCGAACCCGGGCCCGGGACCTTCCGAACTTCAGACGGACGCTCTACCAATTGAGCTATCTGGTCACCGACGATCGATCCAGTCCAGTTCCGCTCCAATAGCAATCAGAGACTTTCATTTTTGTGACTATGTGGTTATATGGACCTGAGAAAGTGATGTTAACCTGAAGTTCGAACACAATTTTAATTGTATTTGAAAGTTGAATTGAAAAAAATTATGATCAATCTCCTACGGTATGAGGACCAGTCAATGCAATGGCCTAATCTGACTTTCATAGTGACGTCACGAGTAGCATGTAACGAGATGACGTCACGAATTCGCTGTAAAGGGCAATAGTAGTTACTTAACATTCTCTGTGATGTCACAAGTAGCAAGGTTACTACGACAGAAATTCGTGGGGATGTGTTTATATTCGTTTTTAATTTTCTGACAAGTTGTGTTGTTTAAAAATTTGGTAAATCTTGTCTTAAAGTAATCCCAAAGTAAATGCAATTCCATCTGAAACGCTTTTCATACAAATCATAGTTATTCAATAGGAACTTGTTTCAGTCAGTGAACCCTTTCTTCATCTCCTTTAAAGGACATCCTGTAATATTTAACATGATTTGATGTCCTCAAATGACTGTTTTTTTTCACGCTGCTGACTTTCCGAAACACCGGTATCCATAGGTCATATTTCAAAATTTTGTAACACACAACAATGATTCTCTCTCCGACCACGTTGAACTTGTAGACTATGACAGGATGAAAAGTATCTGAAGAGGTGTTCTTTTTAGTGCACTGTATTTAGACAGCAAAATTTTGTATTGCAGCCTGTATCGTACATGTAACCAATAAAGTGAATATAACACTGGTGTATTGAGCTATTCCTTTCGAATTCTGGTAAACACGCGCTAAAGTGTAACTACAGATTTTAGAATCTTTGCAAAGACGTCATGTAAATACCACCCTTTTATTTGTTCAATTATGTGCACATTGGTTACTTAAATGTATAAAAGTGAATGTAAGCCTTTGTTTTTTGTTTTCAAAATTATAACCATTACTATTATCCATATGTTGTAAAGCACTTTAGAGTAATTTTACAAATTATATAGGGCGCTATATAAATGTTGTATATTATTATTATTATTACAGATCATCTGCAGACTGCCAGTTTGTTTCATTCTAACATATTGTAATGACACTGAATAGTCAAAGAGACCAGTTAGTGTGTCAGATAAGCCATACAGAAGGGTTTTGCTGTAATCAGAAACCAACAGTAATCAGAGAATGTAAAAAATATTACATGCGTTTTTAGTGATAAAGAAAATGTGCTAGTCATTTCTCGTTGTTTTGATCATGAAGTAGTATTTCTGTGTTACCTCAGGCTGACAATATCAGTGTCTAGGAACGGTTATTTCATAAAAAAAAAATCTTAAGCATTGAACTGTTTTGTATGGTATTTATGATCTATTTGAATGACACAGCTTTGCAAGCAAACAACATAATGCGCGCTAAATACAATACAAAAACAGTTCAATTCTTATATTTACGTTTTCTCTGCCTCTTATGTTCTTTTTTAACTTATAATTTATATTTAAAATTAAAAATGCCCGCCTTATCGACAGTCCACACAATTTCGTTCAATAGTTTGAACAGCGTATTGTCGCGTGCTGATTGGCAAACAAAGTAGTACTTTGAAATTTTAACAAACACTTCAATTTTATTCCACAATTCAGTATCAATACAATTGCGTATGATATGTCTATAGTGTGATTTAAGTTTATCAATAGAACTCTGAGCTGAAAGTTAGATTTGAAATTGTTTCGATTTTTCCCCGGAACAAATTTCGCGCATGGACAAATACAGTGAACACCGTAAATCCGACCTTGCCCTCCACGAGGGAGTTATTTTTGGAAGTTAATTCGAACTTTTCTCTTTGCTCATTTTGTGAAGAATCCAGGCGTGAATTTATTTGTTGATTGTATGGGAACCTGACAACAGTCGGTAGATTCTATAACAGCCTCGTTATTTGACATGTCGTCAGAAACTGAGGAACCGTGGATGCGAGACGCGTGAAACTGATAGCGTTTGAAGTGAGTGATCTTGCGACGGAGCACAGGTTCGTTACAAATGTCTGAAATGTTTATGTGTGCTGTGACTCATATCAGTAGGTCTGTAACATATGTGTCAGTAGGTCTATAGAATATGTGTATTTCAGACATTTGTAACGAACCCCTGTTGATCAGTGCAGTGTAACAGACGATATTTCTGATAAATTGCATGAGCGTTAAAATTGTTTCCATTGCCGGCATTGGTGATTTCAACCGATGTGCATTTTGTACGATATTGCAGAACTTGGTCTTGTTTTCGTTGTAATAAAAGTGTTTTTTTTATTTTATTTTATATTTTGCACATAAATTTACAATGACATTGTCAAATCTCACAATGCCCAGCGATATTTCAGCAGCCGTCATGTTTATTTATATTGGATATTGTAGTTTCGGTCAGTGTTGTATTAATGCGCTAAGAATTGTGTCTCGTGATGCATGGTAATTAAAGTCCCATCATCGACACAGCTTTCAAAGAGGCTAGGATATAGTGACAATGCCACGCAAATGTAAATATAAGTTTATGAAGTAACGTTTCTTTCCGTTCAGCTGACTGAAAGATCTCTAAAAACAGGATGTAGTGACATAGTATAAGGTCTTTCTTTAAATCATTAAAGTTTCATTTCACTAGCCTCTTTGAACACCCCCTCTCCCCGCCCACATGCGCAAACAAAGCTTGGACTTTAGCGAGGCTAAGGAATGTATAAGTGATATGTTCCTCTGACTCTGATCGAGCGAAACGATGTTTGTGAAGCAGAAACACCATGCTAGGTTCAAATTTATTATATCCATTACAATTCATAACATTCACTAAAACGTGAAAATCGACCGTATCCAGCTCGCGTGTGTTTCAATCGTATTTTGATCGACCCCATTAAGTGCATTAAAAGCTTCTTATTCGGTATAGGACTAGTAGTTAGCGCCTGATAAGGCAGCTCCTGTGAATTCCTGAAAATTGTATTGATTAATGTATATGCTAATTGTATTAATTGTATATATATGTACTGTAAAGCGCTTTAGAGTGGCGTGTGTTAGCTAGATAGGGCGCTATATCAAATGTTGTATGTTAAATCATTTATGAAGAAAACAACATACCTTGCGGGATTCAAAAAAGGATAATAAACAAAATGGAAAACCAGCAATAGTGTTCTGAATGCTAGGCCGGGATTCGAACCCCGGACTTTGTACTATCGCTCTAACCGTCGAGCCACCTGGTCAAGGGAACTCACGGACCTGGGACAACTGTACTGCGATTACTACGATTACCTAGTTAATCAATATACGAAAAAACACGGGGCAACGGGACAGGGGTCCTCAAATGAATGACAACGTAAAGGTCAGCTTATAGCACGTAGAATTAGTTTAAAATGTACGTTTTTTAAAAATTGAAATGTAGCTAAATGTTCGGTCGAATGATCATTGTATATGGGAAAATATATAATTTATAATTGGAAGGTTTACACTGACCTATCCTCAGTATAAGTATACGGTAACAATGTGGCCACAGGGCCCTGGGAATTTGTTACAGCTGAATGTGGACCTAAACTTAGCTGTTAGAGCGTTTAGAGCAAGTGTTATACGTTATAGGAGTTAAGAACAATTTTCGGTAAAAATTCCACTCGAACATACTATCATTGGGGTGGCATGTTCACCGAAAGTCGTTCCAACCGTGAAATAATACTCTGAGCGCCTCAATTTAGGTCCAAATATAGCTGTATCTAACTCCCAGGTCCCTGTGTGCGTGGCGTGACGATACACTGGTAACACAAGTGTCAATTAACACATACCTGTACAGGTGATTACCTACCTTGAAACTCTCTTTCAGTCGTCCCAATTAGGTAATTAGCGCATAATATGTTCACTATAGAGCTCGAATCCGGTGTTTTCAAGTTTGAATGGATTTTTTTTTATAAAAAGTATCACGATTTCATACGATTCGCAGGTGATTTTTGAGTATATAATAATCAACATGGTAAGTTTTTGAATACGGATTTTATTTATGGATTAATAGTACTTATGACACGTACTTATATTAGACCGGCCCTGAGTCTTGATGGTTGAGGACAGGTGTACCGGGGGCGTTATACTTACTATTTGTTGCGCAACATCACGGATTTTGATCTCAGATGTATGTAAACGATTGACAGATGATGTAGCTAGCGTGTATTTGTTATAAACGTTATACTGCGCACAGTTTGGAATTCGTGGGTTATTATTGTCACAATTTCGTGAAAAAAAATACACCCAGTGGTACAGGTAGTGGTATTTGATAAGAAATGTTCGCTGTTCGGTTGAGTTCGAGGATCCTTCGTACCAAGGACAATAAATGTCACAAAAATACAGTAAGATTAACATCAGACTCACCCATGAATTACACTGCATCACATAGTCCGGCAGATTGGTGCAGAAATCAGAAGAATTGTGGGTTCTACAGTAAAAGCATAAATATTGTCATGCATGTATCAATCAATTTTGGATACGGGCCAATCAACAAAATACATCTGTTTCGATCCTCTAGGACTTGTAGGTGATGCTAGGGACTAAAAAAAGGTAGAAATCTAAATTGCTCTTAATTGCTTTTGATACAGAAGGGGAGATGCGTAATACACTTTAGTTATAGCAGAGTAGTACTGTTTAATTTCAGATAAATAATAAGTCAATGATATTGAGTAACTCATCTGCAGAGGAGTCTACCATCTTGTATCTCGAAAGATGAACGGAAGACACACACAAGTAGATACAGTATGCCAAAAAGGAATGAGACCGCACCGTACAGCTGTTAAAAAACCTAACAAAGACTAAATAATACACTGTGCTTTACCGGCGTGTAGATGCCTGTACGCTTGTACACAAGTGAATCCGACAAATAGTCAAAAGAGAATCCGTATAGGATGTGAATGTCTTCAGAAGGTATGTATGTTGATATAAAATTTAACTAAAAACATGATTTTATTGAAGAATGTCTCAATTTACCC